CTGGAGTAAATGAAATGAGAATGAATTCACCAAAGCATTCAATCAATCACCAACAGAAACAAGAAGAAAAAACAGGCCTAATTGCAAGTTTGACATAAGCAAGAGAAGACCAAACAGCGTGATAATCAAAGCAAATCATTCGGGGCAAATAAACGCGCCAGGTTTTGAACCTGAACTGTCCACTGGGCTTTTCCCCAATCTGCTATAAAACTCAATCACAAACAACCCCCAGCCCGCCTCTAAAAACCGAATAAAAGCAATTGGAAAAGCACATTGTGACGCATGAATAAAAAAACGGGAAATAACCCGGAAACGAAAAACAATTAATATACAAAGGAGAGCGTGCTTTTTTCATTTTAATTTGCTAAATAGGGTTCAGGTTTATAGGATTTCCGTAGGCCGATCAATCTTGGCTTGTCGGGTTCTCTCGCTCACTCGAGCCACCCATCAGCTCGAAAATTAATTGCCCACAGCAACAGAGCTGTCGCATTTGTTGTAGAGCTGCCGTGCTACTATACCGTATTTTTATCTTAATTTGTAGGCGCCATTGCCCGGTCGTTCTTTATCTGCCGGTAAAACTGAACTTTGCGCCCACAATATTGATATTTATCTGCTTGCTACTAATCTACAGCTTAGTGTACTCAGTAACCATATATCAACAAAATTACAGAACAAATTTACAAATGATTCAAAATTAGTATCTCTTTAGGAAAAATTATAACTCACATTCACTCAAAATCGAATATTCAACAGGGCAAGAGCCTCTAAGTTCAATTGTTCAGATTGTTTTCACGCTGAAATTTCCAATAGTTTTGTATCCAAATTAAATTCTGTAGCTGGAGTTGATTCAACCAGGGAATAAATACGTCGAATGAATAAAGTTCCTCGCACATGAAGATAGCGGTCTTTCAGTTAAATAAACTAAGAGCAGCAGCAGAAGCAAAATTTAAATGCCAATTAAATAAGAAAAAATATCCCAAAAAATCACACATAATAAGCCAATATAATTTCCGTTCTATAGAATTTGTTTCCTATAAACTAGGTATTGCGTATTCCTAAATACAGCTGTTTAAAAAGCAAAATACCCGCTTACTTTTGCATGCTCAATTTAACTGAATAATGTGGTAAATTACACATCGTAATCTCGCATTCAATTAGATGATTGAATCTGCGAATAGACTTCCGGGTATTTTCTCGTTCGACCACAAACGGCTTACTAATTAACTTGCGGTCAACTTATCATTAAAATAACATATTTTAGAACTCATTAAGCAAATCTACCGACGTGAAAATGTGGAAATATTATCCAGGAATTTGTTTTCACAATCTCCGATTATTTTTATGGGTTTATAAACATGTTTCTTTTGGCGGCAGCTCAAAGAAATTTGTCAGAAATTTATTTTTTCTCCGATTGTGGGCGCATTCAATTTGCTTGTTTTCATTAGCAGATGTTTTGTTAGTCAACAAAGTTTCTCCAGGAATTATCTTCGAGATAGCGCTATTTAAAGATAAGATACTCTAAGGCTCTAAATAACATTTCTTATAGAATGTCACTAATTAAGCTAATATAATTTGCGTCGTATTAATAATAAAATGGACTGGAGTAAATGCGGAAATTGAAGACGTATGAGTTTAGGAACTTATTACAATTATTCCAAGTGAGTTATGGAAGAAAGTGATGATTTTTCATGCATCAGTGCATCGCTTCGGGCGTACAGGGAGTCAAATATATTTGAGCAACGCCATTTTTTTCAAGCCTATTTAGTGTGGAATACGGAAGTGCATGCACGCTAACATTTATTGCAACTCATTGGGGCAGGACGGCGCGAAATTCGTTAAATTTAAGGTGGAATATTCATTCAGAGTTAGATAGTTACAAAGAGAAAATTTGTGGATTTGTTAAGGTAAAAATATTAACTGAGCAATTAAAAATATACATCTACTCCTACTTTACAGCGTAACATTGGCATAAATACATGAGCTCCTAAAAAGGTTCAAAATAAGTCACCTAATAAAGCGAGATCGCATAAAAGTATCAGCAACTTGATTGAAAATGGACATCAATGGGGTCCTCGTAATAAATTTCCGGGAAAAACCTGCATCCACTGGGAATAAAGTTTTCCAATCGATAACACACCGTTCACCTTATTTGCTAGTCGAAAAACCTCTATACAACAACACAAAGCCGACGGGAGCGGGATAACAAAACTACACGCCGGGAAATCCGCAAAACAGGGCTCGCGCTCCCTTTAGCTCGCGTTGCACAAAATCGATGAAAAATTATCCTCCTGCTCTTCCGGCTTTTTAAAACCAACCACCCCCGGATATAGTATAAGAAAGCTCCGCTGCACTGTTTCAATATTGACGCGTTTCCCTAACTCTGCGTAATCGTGTTTCGGGAAAAACTCTAATCGTGTTTCGGGAAAAACTCGGCACGCACTCGAGTGGCCAAAAAAATGGCTCCAAATAACGTTTCGCCGAAGGAGTTGCAGGAATAGCAAGAGAAAAGCTGGGCAAGGCGAAATAAACTGGTTGAGATATCGCGTGAAAACGGAAGCGGTTTCGTATGCGGTCGATACTCGATCCTCTCACCAGCTCGCTGTTCAGCCGACTGAGTTTCGCTCAGCGTTTCCTTGCCTGGGGATCGCTGGCGGTTTCGACACAATCGCGCTGGGGAGCAGGCATCATTTCGTTCAGAAGCCTTAAATACCAAGGAGAATGCTTAATTTGTCACGACAGTCTATTACTATTCGGTGAAGAATCACTGACCTTTGTAGGCAAATAAATATATAAACGCAGTTTTCACCTTGGTAGGGTGCTGGAGGAAGAGCGCTATTATTTGTTTATTTATTTTTTATAAAGAAAACCGTTCGATTTGAAGTGGAAAATGGCAAATTTCAATGTTGGCAATATCCCTTTTCTCAACAATTTCCAGCCACGAATATTACGGAATATTTTTCAGTGTTTTCTTGTTTAACTGGAGTTTTGCAAAAACAGTTTTTGTCCAAATGTAAATATTATGATTTGAATTCGTTTTGGCATCGTTGAATAGAAAATTGAAAACTCGATTCAGTCGTAACAACGTGAGTGAGGAAATTCGAGTAGTTCTGACCCCGAAAGCGAAATTTGAATATCAGACACTTCGGTGCACGATTATGTCAAAATTCCATGTTTTCCGTCTCGTTTTTGCTCATTTCTCGGAGGCAAAATGAGCCAGAACGCTCATTTGTACATCACTCTAGACAGAAATAAATGGCCGTTTTAGAAAGTGAACCATCGATAAGGAAATGTTGGCAGTTTTCTCAAAAAATGCTTGAATTCAAGAAGTCTTAGATTTGCGTAGTTTTTTTTGAGTTTCAAAATACACTTGAACACGACGCTGCTTCCTTCGAAGTTTCTCAAGAACCATTCGAGCCAGAGAATTCGTTTTGGCATCGTTGGATAGAGAATTGAATGAGGGGGGGTCAGATGCAATTCACCTCTCCCCTTTCATTAGGTACAAAAACGTCACTGTTAAAATAAAAAAAACGAATAAGACAATGAAAGTAGGAACAATAAAAAAAATTTAACACAACATTTTTTTCCCAATCGTGTCAATCAGAATTGAGTTCAAATATCAGTTGGCATCAGATCTCTATTTCTTAATCGATCTTTAGGATCGTAATTGTCTATTTCCTCACCGCGTTTTCGTCTATAGGCGATGATTGGCAACATAATTGTTAGAAAGCAAATACCTACGGTTCAAATACGACAGAACATGACCAAGTTACATTTTTATAGGACCAGGACTTGCCATTTCAATAAAAGTTGTTATTAGATTTTTGAGAGAAATTTCTAACAGAATGTCTTCTTAAGCATACATACATTTTGCTAATAATAAATCAAACAAATGTTGCCAAAAGATCAATTTCCCCACTCAAACTTCCGTACACAAAATGTTAATTTAAGACTCTGATGCTAGTCAAATCCCATGCTTATCTTGGTGTATAAATAAGGAGGCGATATCTATTGACGTTAATTAAAACCTATAAATTAGATTAACCAATAAGTAACTTATGTATAAACAGACGACAAACATATTTGATTAGGAAATCCATGAAATGACTAAGAAAAAAAAACGCAATTGTAAACATTTGTTTTACAGAAAATTGCCTGAAAAATAATATTTTACCATTAAAAAGCACTACTTACCTACTTCTTACTCATTGAAGCGCTCTGACTGAGTCAACCACAAAAGTGATTTAGCAAAAAATCCAAAATCCATTAATTAATGGCATTTATAAATAGATTTTTAAGTGCCAAGCTTGAAGACAACGTGGGTTTTCCTGGCAGTAACATTAATTATGTGAGAACCTTTAATTTACATTTCAAATTACTAACAAGCAATAAATGACATACTTAACACACCGTTAAAAAATCAAAAAAATTGTAATTGCATATCAGGAAAGTTAACAACTCATTTTATGGTTTCGCTCAATATTCGACGTGCAACAATCCATAAAAAGTGGCAAAACGCGCTCGACTAACGCGGAACACAACCCCTAAGGCATAATCGGGATTACAGGAAATAAATGGGGAAACATAAAGGGAAAAGTCGCTGTTGTAACCACAGATGGCGTATTCGGTAGTAAAAGTATATGCAAAAATGCACGTTGAAAACTGTTGGAAAAACAAACAAATTTTAAATGTTGTCCGCATAATAAATAGGGAGCTGAAAAGGGTGAAATGTTTACTTTTCCTAAAGCAAAGAGAGTAAGCAAGTTAAATTTTAATTTTAATTTTGCATTTGTAAGCAAACAAGAGCAGAGTTTACCCTTTATTAGTCAGCAGAATTATTCATGATCCATAAACATGTAGGTACGACGACTTATTACCGAAACATAAGTCATAATAAAAACTGATGAGTTTTTCGGAACTTTTCGCGAGCGATAGTGACTTGCATGTTCAGAGTTGCACCAAACAAACCACCTCTGAAGATGCAAACCAATCGTGCTTGCGAAACGTCAGGACTCGTGTCCACGGCGGCCCAAAAGCCTGAAAAACTTACCAGTTTCAAGTGATGGCCCCAAAGGCACTCTTTTAATAGAACATAATTCCTAAATTTCTATCAAGTGAGTGTTTGGTTAAAAAAACATCATAAAACCGAAAGCATGCATCAAGAATCGGGCACGCTCAAATACTAAAGTCGTATTTACAAGCTGTCAAAATCCCTATACAAATGTACACATCCGCACTTATTTTTTCTATTTAGTTTTATGAGCTTGTAGATAGATTTAGAGAGTGATAAAACGACATTTTACGATCTGCAGCACAATGTTAATGGGAATTTTATTAGCGCTTCAAAAGGAATTTTGCTCAAGCAATTTCCTCATGCAAATAGCACGAAGAAGTCACGAAACAGATGAACACGGCCGATATTAATCTAAAAAATGCATTCAAAATTGATAGACATTCTTCTTCACAAAAAATATGTTTAACAGAAATTAATATTTATTTAAACTAAATAAAAAATAGCACAGTAATTAAAGAAAAGGTAGTAAAACCACTCTAAAAGAATGCCCATTTCTCTAAGCATAAATGTTAGGTTGCTTATTTTATAACTGATGCCGTGCATCAATCCCTATAATTCCCTAATAACCCAGAGAACGACCCTAATAATACCGTTCAACCACATAAAAGGGTCGTAATTTTTTGTTGGAGGGTCGAATATTGTTTTTCGATATTTGGCGAACGACTTTTTTGACGATCGGGTGTTGGATAATGGGAGATTGTAGAAGATAAATCTTTATTACCGAATAAGTACGAAATCATATCGTAAAGCGACGGAAATTATGGGGCCTCGGAGCTTTAAATGTTCGGCTGGTGTCGTAAAAAGCCATGATTTTTCAATGTGTGCAGAGATTAAAATGTTGACACTGATACTGCATTTATAACAGTAAAGGTAAATTGTATTAAGGTGGTAAGATCGACGTGTTCATAAAATCTGTAAACCGTTTTTACTTTGAAACTATTAACAGCTGGAATCTAATGATATACAAAAATAGGCACTTATGCAAATATTTACGGAGAATATCCAACAAATTGACTCGACAAACTCATAAATGTCCGACAAACACGACGGCTAATTGTTTGCTCGACTCATTAGCGCTCTCTCTGATGAGTGCTAATCAACGAAGATTTTCCTTTGTTTGACTGCATCATCTAACGAACAGGAGATTTATTTGTCTCGTGTCGTAAAGTGTCGCTTTATGGTGCTTTTACAGCTTTGCTGAACGATTTTGATGAGATGCAACCCGAAAATCTCCATCCCAAACAAACAAATAGAAAAAACATTTCTACCGCAATAAGAAGCGTGGAATTACCACATTTCACACCAATAAATATGAAATAAACATTGGTAATTTCCACCAAATTTTTTGGTGTTACCTCCAAAACCAAGACAATTAGATTGCCACTTCCGCCCACAAATCCATTGAAATTCAATCCGATTCCACCCCAGTCCGAATTTTCAGCCCTCACTGCCCTTCATCCAATCAAACATGATATTACTACCGTATACGCACCCTTAAGCCCTCGAGGGTTCATTCACAATAACCCTTTGCGCGTTTCAAAGGAGCTCGTCGGAATTGATTGAGGTTTCTCGAAATTTAATGATCTTTTGCGGGCTGTATTAATTTTTAATGGGCCTATTTTCAAAGCTTTGCCAACGAAGGAAGGAACAATTAGTCTAATTCAGTAAAAGCAGCCGATTGAATTAAATAAATGTAATTTGAAAAGGACTAATTACCGTAATGAAATAAGGCACGCCGAATTTGCTTATCGTACCAAAATGAAGCACTGCAAGTGGTGTTTTTGAGCTGATCACGAAATCGAATAACGAGATCAGAATCTCGGCTTGTTTAATCAACGTCAACTAATGGGGGAATTCCGAAATTAGCACGCACAATTAGCAACACCAAATGTGGTTTCAGTCGTATTGTTCAAAGTAATCAGAGCGGCAGATTTGGATTTATTATAAAATTTCCCTTTTTGATAATGCTCAAAGTGGAACTAGTGTCTTGCGCTTCCAACCGCGAAACATTTATTAGGGTCGACTTTGCATTTTGCAAATTTATATCAGAAAATTCCTTATCCCAACGATTTGAAAAAGAGGATTTTAAGTTGATGAAATTCCTCTGCAGGAGTTGAGGTTTTGTTGAGTTGAGAAGTTGAGAACTAATTGACTTCGTTCAGCTAACGATTAAAAATTCCATTCGACGGCGGCAAAATAATAACATTTAATACTATTAAATACGCTAACTACTCATGAAATAATAATCATGCGTTTGTTAATGATTGTACCCATTTTGCACCTTTCAGAGCATCTGTTTAACACTTCCCCAATTCCCATACGATTTACTCTTACAAAAAGCTACTTAAATATTGAATAATACTTTTCATATTCGATGGAATTCACATAAATTAAGCTTGATTATTTAATTTTTCGATGGCTTGCGTGTTTGATACGCATCGGCTTATCTCAGTATGTAATTTATGCTTGGTAGAATGCAAAAACTACTTTCACATGTAATGTGTTTTATTCAGGGCATTTCAGTATGGAAAACTGTGTAATTTGCACAACTAACTAATACCGTGA